GTTTCTTAAAATTTTTATTTTTTGTTTTGGTTTTTTTTTTAATTTTTAAGATGAGGTCAAATCTCTAATCTTTATTATATATGAGCACAGCTCTACCTCGAATTACAATATTTGGGGAACAGATTATTCTTTTGCACAAACAAGAGAACCATTAGTTTATCTTCTTCTGCTTCTTCTATTTCTTCTTCTTCTTCTTCTTCTTCTTCTTCGTCTGTTATTGTTTCAAATTCTAGATCTTAGGAACAGTTAACCAATTACTATCAAAATAACAATATAGAAAATCTTCATAATTTATAGGAAACTGCTGTTAATCAATATGATTATATGGTGAACAATGATAATATTATAGACCTTAATGATAGCTTGAATAAAATGTATATTAATAATAGTGCTTCTTTTAATGATCTTCTTGTTGATAATCAGGATACAGGAGCTGGTATTCACTTTATACCAACTCTCTATATATATTCACCAATACATCACTCTCCTCTAACATTACCTTATCATTTACCTGTTCTAAATTCACAGCCTATGCTTTCAACTTCAACAAATATTCCATTTGTGTCAACTTCAACTTTAACAAATATTCCCTTTGTATCAACTTCAACTTCAACAAATATTCCACTTATGAGTGCATCTTTAGGCAAAAAGGATTCACCATCTGTTCATTTGGATGACTCATTTCCTTATAAATTTGAAGGCCTATCTAAGGAAACAATATCTGATGAGCCTCAAGCCCAACAAGTTCTTTATCACTTTAACCGTTTGGTTAAAGCTTTGGAAAAAGGACATTCACAACTCTCAAAGGAATCTCTTCATGTTCAAATTCCTGTCTTTAAAGGAGAGGAACAGGATCCTGTATACTGGCTAAATAAATTTGAAACTGCATGTTCTGTAAATAATATTCAGGAAGCTCAAATGTTAACTACTGCCCCTGCTTATCTAAAAGGGTCAGCACAATCTTGGTGGAGAACTGTTGTCAGTAATATTATGTTTTGGAAAAATAAATCAAAGCCAAATCAATCCTTTGTCTATCTATTTCACTTCTAATTTTGTACTATACATCAAAAATCTCGATGGCTTGCTGATCTTCAATCTCGAGTTCAACAACTAAGTGAAACTGTTGAGAATTATTATGCTGAATTGGAGCATTCATATCAAAAAGTTGATCCAAATAATCGATATCCAATAGAGGATAAATTACGACAATTTATTGATGAATTAAGAAATGAAATTCGGAAGTTAGTTGAAATTTCCTGTCCTACTACTATAGCTCAGGCTTTGATTCATGCCAAGGCTACTGAAGCTGCTTTTTCTTGAAAAATGCCTCTTGGTTCATATTCTTTAAATAAAAGATATCTTAACTATTACTCTCCTTCTTCTCATCATCTTGGTTCTAATATTTTTGTTAATCATCAGGCCAATAATGAAGTTTCTCAAGCTGTCCAAGCTGTTCTAAACTATCTTAAATAGCAAAACCAACCTAAATCTAATACTTCTCAAAACAATAACAATAATAATAACTGCAATAACAAAAATAATAATCAAAATAATGGTTCTTCTCAACGAAATGTAATTGTGTGTCAAATCTGTAATAAAAAAGGCCATAGTGCACATGATTGTTATAAAAGGAATAGCAATAACAACTCTAATAATAATAATTAAAGGAGAGGAAACTTTCAATATAATAATAACCAAACTAATAATAACAATCGACAATTACCAAGGAATAATCCCCAATTACAATCACAAACTCTTCCATCTTCAAATAATCAAAATACTCATTCCACATATTATACACTTTCTGCTGAGGATTTACAAAGCTTTATTCGAAACTTAGCACAATCTTTAAACTCCTAAAAGCACACTGTGAGGGCAGTAGTGCCTGTCAACCAAATTCTTCTTCCAATATTCTACCTTCTACTTCTTCATTAAATATTCATAATAATATTCATAACAATAATCAATCATATATCTTAAAGAACAATAATTCTAATTCTATTAATAATCAAAATTAGTTTAAATCAGCACCCTCACTGATTTTTACTAATGAACAACCAAAACCTAAGGAAGCTGTGGATATAGTTTACTGTAATGCCAGTATTGATAAAACTCTGTTTTATTTAATTCTGAATACAGGATCACTTACAAGTGTAATGTCAAAACCTTTTGCTGACAAATTAAACAAATTTATTGAAAAACTATCTAATCTTTATTTTTCTGATATTAATGGTGGAAAAAAATGATCCCTAGGAATTATTAATAATATTCCTCTTCAATTATCTGATACTATCATTTCTATTGATATGGAAGTAAATAATGCCCAAGGTTATGCTATAATTGCTGGAATCAATTGGCTTAACAAAGTACAAGGTATCATTGATTTAAAAAGAGGACAATTTAAATTTACTTGGAACAACAAATCTTATATTTTACCTATTACATATTGGGAAAAGCCACAATATAATAATAGTGAACCTATTCCTTTAAAAAACTCTTCTGAGTTCAATGACTCAAATAACCAAACTTCATCTACTGAAACTAATTCTAGTGAAATTAGTGAGGATAAATATGAATCATCTGATAATGAACAAAAAGAATCTAAAGGATTCTTAGTTATAGGAAATTCTGATGAAAAACCTATACTTGAAATTAATAATACCCAAGTTAAATATCAAAATGAATCTTTCAACAATTATAATTTTTATTCTGAACAAACTAGTGATCCTCGAGTTATAAAATGTTATTGTAATCAACCACAAAAAGCATATTCAAAATGTATACAAGTGAGGGAAGCAATAAGTTGTTTTGCTACTAAGGAGGATCTTAAGGAAACAAACCTTCATCCTATAAATAACTCACAACTACAGCAATTCTTAATTGAAAATGACCATATGTTTTCCAAAGGAATGAATGATCTAGGCAAAACAACCATTGACCAACATCAAATTATAACTGAAAATGTACTACCTATTTATCAAAGGGCCTACTATATGTCTCCAGCTGAACATGAATTTATCCAACAAAAACTCTTTTTGATGCTTGAAAATAAGCTTATATCTCCATCAAAAAGTTCATGGGCCTCTTCTGTTGTTTTGGTAAAAAAAAAAAGGTAAACTTAGGCTCTGTATTGATTACAGAAAGTTTAACAAAATTATCAAACGAGATGTTTATCCTCTACCACGAATTGATGAAATTCTGGATACTCTTAAAGGTGCAAAATGGTTCGCTACTCTTGACTTAGCTAGTGGATATTGGCAAATTGAAGTAAAACCTGAGGATCGTGAAAAAACAGCTTTTATTACTAAATATGGGTTGTTTGATTTTAATGTTATGCCTTTTGGTCTAACTAATACACCTGCTACTTTCTAACGAGTTATGGATAAAATCTTTTCTGACTTTAAAAATAAATTTATTTTAGTATATCTTGATGATATTACTATTTATTCAAAAACCTTTGAGGAGCACTTGGAATACTTAAAAGAGGTTTTTAAACAACTTCAAAATGCTGTACTAAAATTAGAAAGGGATAAGTGTTGTTTTGGAAACAGAAATTAGCTTTTTTGGGACATATTATTAGTGGAAATGGAGTTTCACCAGATCCATCAAAAATTGATAAAGTTAAAAACTATTCTGCACCCCATAATCTTACTAAACTTCGTAGATTTATTGGTCTTGCTTCATATTATTGAAAGTTTATTCTAAACTTTTCACGAATTGTTGAACCTTTAAATAAGTTGTTAAAAAAGGATACTCCTTTTGTTTGGACCGAACCTGTCAACAAGCAATGGATATTCTTAAGGAAAAATTAACAACTGCACCTATTCTCCAATATTCTAACTTTACCAAACCTTTTATTTTATATACTGATGCTTCTTATCAGGGTTTAGGTGCTATTCTTGCTTAAAAAGATGATGATAATCATGAGCATGTAATTGCTTATGCTAGCAGGTCTCTAAATTCTGCTAAAATCAATTACTCTCCAACTGAAATTAAATGTCTTGCTGCAGTATAGAGAATGGAATATTTTCGACCTTATATTTATCTTAGATCTTTTGAACTTATTACAGATCATTCTGCTTTACGTTGGTTATTAAACTAACCTAACTCTAACAAAAGAGTAACTTGATGAATATAACGAATTGCTGATTACCCTTACACAGTTATATACTGAAAAGGTCGAGTTCATTCTAATGTGGATGCACTTTCTTGTCTTTCTAAGAATCCACCTTAAGGAAAATACTTAAAAACTTTTACCAAAATGGAATCTACACTCTATCACCACTTTATTAACTATTTAACAACTTCGGTATTACCCCAAACTTACAACAACAATTTAAAAAACAAGCAACACACTATATTATTGAAAATAATCAATTATATAGGAAACCAAAAGGGTCATCACAAAAATTATTATGTGTAGTTCAGGAATCTGAACTACTTACTGTCCTACATAGTCTACATTCTGATATCCTTGCTGGACATTTTGGCATTGATGGAACCTATAATCGTGCTAAAAACAAATACTATTGGCCTAAAATGCATAAAAGTATTGCAAACTATATTCAAACTTGTGATACTTGTCAATAGCAAGGAGGAACAAAACAAAATAAATTTTTACATCCATTACCTGTTTCAGTTCCATTTCATCGAGTTGGAATTGATATTATTGGACCTTTGAAAATTACTTTTAGTGGAAATTGATATATTATAGTAGCTACTGAATATTTAACAAAATGGCCTGAAGCTAAAGCCATACCTGATATGAAGGCTACTACCATTGCTAAGTTTATTTATAATGAAATTATTGTTCATCATGGATGTCCACAGAAACTGTTGTCTGATCAAGGAAAATCTTTCTGTAACACTTTAGTTGATTCGCTTTGTCAACTAATGAATACTAAGCATCATCTTGCTTCTGCTTACTATCTTCAAACTAATAGATTAACTGAACAATTTAACAAACTTTGTGTACAATTTTAGCAAAGTATGTTAGTGACTATGAGGATTCTTGAGATACTTTTATATCTGCTGCTCTATTTGCCTACTGAACTATCCCTCAATCCACTATTAAATATGAGCCATTTGAATTACTTTATGGTCAAAAAGCTGTAACACCTTTGGACTTAGTATTAAATCCTATTAATAATGCTGAGGAACCTCCTTATGAACAATAGCTTCAAAGTTATATTGATTTTGTTACAAATAGATTACATCAAGTTCAGTTAAAAGCTCAGCAAAATATTGAATCTGCTTAACAAAAACAAAAGGAAAAATATGATAGGCATGTCAAGAAAGTTCCATTCCATATTGGGGATAAGGTTTTATTATATCAATTAGCACAAGCCAAAGTACATAGTAACAAATTTAGTGAAAAATGGAAAGGACCTTATTATATTCATAATATTATTGCACTAGGAGCTTACAAACTTCGTTCTATAGATGATAAAATTTTAAAAAGAACAATTAATGCTAATCGTTTAAAATTATACTTTGATCGATCTTTATGAGAACCTACTATAATTATTAGTTAATATAATATTTTGTTTCATTTTTTCTATTTTTTTTTAGCAAAATAGCTTTAGTTTTAGATAGCTTTTATTTCATTTTACATATATTTTATTTTTATTTTAATTTTTTTTTTAACAAAAAATTTTATAAAACAAAAAAAAAAAAAAAATATATATATATATATATTTATATATATATTGATATCAAATTAATTACATATTATTGAACACTATTATTATTATTATTATTATCAATTACATATAATAATAATTATTGTATGAATAAAAAAAACTCTTTCTAATGATCATCTAAAATTACAAAAATTAACAAAATATAGAAGAAAGATATTTAAAAAAGATCTAAATAAAGCTAGAATATAGACAAAATTAATACAAAACGCAAGAGAACAACTGATATAACAACTAACATAACAAAAAACAACAACAGTACAAAAAATACAACAAGAAAACTAAAAACATCAACAACCAGTCCTCAACGGACTTGGTAGAGAAAAACAGCTTGCAAGAGCAAAATAACAAATATATACCAGTGTATGCATCCAAGTTATCAATAGATAACAGTATAGACAACCAAGAAACACAGAATATAAACAACAACCAACAAACTTCTGCCCAAAGCAAAAGATGCCACTACAACAATATACCTATCTCTACAACTTACAAAAAATTGACAAAAAGTGGGCAAAACAGCTTACCTCTGCCAAAACACACTATGACATCATACATTATACAAAACAACACAACAACAACCATAACAGGAAATAACAACAACAACAATACAACAATCATGGGAAACACAAACACACAAAATAACACAAATATAGCAGATATACAAATACAGTCATTAACAAACAAAATACATGATCTAACATCCAATACAGGAAACAACTCCAAAACAACAGCTATGCAGATAGATATAGAAAATACAACATCTACAACCCATGACCAAAATAAAACAGCAAACCAAAACATCAACACCCAACAAAAATCGTACAGCTATGTACTATAACAAAATATCCCCCAACAATATCAAATGCAAATAGATGAAGAAGCACTACACAAGCAAACACAAAGTTGGATTAAACATATACTCCAAGAACTAGATAACCAAAACCAAAACAAGTTTGACTACAGGATTTGGCCAATAGACAAAATAATTACAGCACTTGACGATACAAATAGCATCGAAGAATTTATACAATACAAACTAACAACACAACCCACACAACATTAGATTCCAAAAGCTATACTTCTTAAATTCAAATATCTAGATCCTGCATTCTTTATATCTTTCATCCAAAATAGACAAACCACACCCGCACACCAAAAAGAATTTACTAACTTACTTAAAGCAGCTATTACTAAATACAAAGACAAAAACAAAATCACTCTAACAAACAAAGAAACTAGAGATATAATCCAACACAAACTGTGCCAAAAATTAATAATAGAATACCTTACAAACCTTAACTTCAAACAACTTTCACCAAGCAAGGCATACCAGATAATCAAATACAGCCGAAACTTTATCCATGCAAAACCTATCACAGACTACAAACAAATCTAAACAGCAGTTAACCAAGCATACAGCATCCAACGACAACAACTATCTGAAACTCCTGAAGAAATAGACAGCCAAACCAAAAACATACTACTTTTCAAATTATCAATTAAACAAAGATCTCAAACAAAAGCAATTGTTAACTCTCTCAGAGTAATTTTTAACTTCCCAAGCCTA